GGCCGTAGCACAGACTCTTGCATAACGCATAATGCATAGTGCATAAGGGAATCGACCAATCGAAAAATTCTTCTTTTTCATGGAATGGAAGGAAAGGAAAGATTCTGATTAGTTGATTCGCTTATGCACTATGCGTTATGCGTTATGCAAGAATCTGTGCTGCGGCCTTTAAGGTGTATTCACATGCAAGCATCAAACGTCAAGCAGCGGAAGCAGCAACCAATCAACGAGGCAATTTTTACAGTGGCGCAAAAAATATTTTTTACACCATTGCCCCTATCGCCCATCTGATTGGTTGCTGCACGGAGTAATAAGAAGATCAAGCTCGAGGATGAAATATGGGCTCGAAACACGGTTTCGGAAAACCCCATGGAAAATCGAGATGTGATTTTAGCGCCATTGCTGGAAAAGTTGGAAGTATTGACTGTCACGTGACATACATTTCGCTCTCTCTAACCTACTTTTGCTAACCTACATTTCGATGATAACACCTTAGTTCACAGTTTTCTCCGACAGGCGCGCTCGGATCAGTTCTTCTATACAGCGCTTTTCCGACACCGTGTTTCGAACCCATCTTTTTCATGGCCGACCGCTTGAGTTTGATCTCCTTCTTATTACTCCGTGGGTTGCTGCTTGACGCTTGCATGTGAATGCAACTTAAGACTGCGTTCGGAAACCACCCGAGTGCCTCCGTTCATTTTATTCTTAAGCAGGGAGCACAGACTCTTGCATAACGCATAATACGTTATACATAAGAAAATGTTGATCCGGGGTTAAATACTTATTGTAGATCCGGACTTAAGCTAGTGCATGAACCAATCAGAAAGTCGTATTAGCATCTTAAGACACTGCCTGAGATTAAGGGTGAAATCACACGGTGCGGAAAAAGACTGCGTAATAGAGAATGCGTCATTGAAGCAACCAATCAACGCTATTCAGCGCTAATCGGAATAGCGTTGATTGGTTGCTTCAATGACGCATTCTCTATTCCGCAGTCTTTTTCCGCACCGTGTGATTTCACCCTTATGCAAGAGGCTGTGCTCCCCGCTTTATTATTCACCCAATGGCTGCGTTCAGCAGACTCAACAGTTTTGCAACCGTTTTATGATTGTCTGCTGAGATAGGACCATTCTTCTAGATCTAAAAGTATGATCCAATTAGCGCGAAGGAAACTTCCAACAGTTGCAAAACGAACGTTCTGCTGAACGCAGCCAATGTTAAACAAGGATAAGATGATACACGAGGGCATCCGAGTGAAGTTTCCGAACGCAGCCTTAATCTGGCAAAAAAAGCATCTCTGTGTTCCACGAATCCAGATAAGGAGTGTATCCGGTACTACAACCGCTTACTGAGCGCTCAGTGAGCTCTTGCATCTGATTGGCACATTCAGGTTAATAGGTTTGGCATTACTAAACCGTTTTACCCCGGATCTATAATAGGGTTTTAAGCCTTAAGCCATAAGAAATGGGCGAATCACAGTCGATTATTCCCCTCGGATTCGATTGTAATTGATCAATTTCTTACGGCTTAAGTCTTAAAACACTTATTGTAGATCCGGAATTACGAAAGTCGTGAAAACGGTCTTCAATCCGTTTAACGTATCAAAATTCGATGTTACCAACTTTAGAAGTTAAGGTTAAGAAATGACAAAGGATATTTCGTCTCAGGTTCCGTATTAGGTTATATAAAGTTATTTTATTTTTGGCGGAGGTAAAATACGCCTGATCGTGTAAACAGGCACCAACACCGATTTTAACTAAAATGGTCTTTCCTAAACCGTTTTTACTAGTGCGTGTAAACGTAGTCAATGGGTGCATTCAGTACTACGACCTCAGTGAGCTCTTGTATCAGTTTGGTCTATATTTTTAGTTCTAACGGTATATGCCAATAAAATGCAAGCGCTCATTGAGCGGTAGTAGTACTAAATGCACCTAGTGGTTACATTCAGTACTATGACCGCTTACTGAACGTTCAGTGAGCTCTTGTATCTGTTTGGTCTACATTTTTAGTTCTAACGGAATATGCCAATCAGATGCAAGAGCTCACTGAGCGCTCAGTGAGCGGTCGTAGTACTGAATGCACCCAGTATTACAACCGCTCACTGACAGCTCTTGTATCTGTGGTCTATATTTTTAGTTCTAACGGAATATACCAATAAGCAAATGCTCAGTGAGCGGTTGTAGTACTGAATGCACTCATTGGGTGCATTCAGCGGACTCAACAGTTGAGTGAGCGCTCGCTGTTATTGGTGTATTCTTTTAGATCATCCAATCATAATTTTAGATCTAGAAGAATACGTCAATAGCAGCGAACGCTCACTCAACTGTTGAGTCCGCTGAATGCAGCCAATGAGTGCATTCAGAAGCGACGAGCTCGCTCACTGAGTAAAAAAGGAATTAATCTTTGATTAATGTTTATTTATTATAATTCGTAACGTAGAATAACTTGTCTATTATATACTATGTTTACACGGCCCGATTTACGCCGAAGTTATAACATCGATGTTATGAAACTAACCAATCATAGCTATTCTTCTGAAAAAATGGAATGACTGTGATTGGCCAATTTTCGTAACATCGATGTTATAACTTCGGCGTAAATCGAACCGTGTAAACGTAGCCATAGATAATCTTTAATATTCATATTCCTTACTTATTTATTACTGTTTATTATTTCTCTAATGCCGTGTTTGGACCGTAAGGTTATGTAGCACTCATTCTCTATTCCGCAATCTTTTTCTGCGTCGTGTGATTTCACCCTAAGAAAATATACCAATCGAAGTCCATCGTTTCTTTCCTTTCCATGAAATAAAGAACTGATTGGTTCAATTTCTTATGCCTCATGCGTTAATGTCATGCAAGTCTGTGTTCCTTGCTTAACTAGTGTCTAAACTAGTGTACTTTTTGAATTTGAGTGGAAAGTGAGATAGGTATATGTTTAAGGAGCTTTCCAACAAGTCTTAAACCTTTTCATTTTTTAATATTTTAATAACATTCATTTTTACATCAATATAATCGCCTATTATAGTTGGCGATATTATGAACAGTAAGATATCCAACCTGCGAAGGCGACCGCAGCGCAGTTTTGTTCGTTTATATACTGCGAGCAGAGTATCATGGATATCGATTATATATCTTTTTCCCTAGAGTGAAAACGTAAAAAGTGAAAATGTTTTGTATGTATGTATGTGTATGTACACGCATAGAATCCAAAATTTACACAATTTATTTGGTATATATAAATTTACACCAAGATATTTAAACATTAAGATCTGCTTTGACTGAATATAGGATTTCTTTTACTTAATTAGATTTAAAAATAATTATTTATGAATTAGTTGCAAATAAGAATGATGATATTATATTATTTAACTTTAACATATATTGCAATTATTTGCACTTTGTAATTTTTTTTAAGATACCAATAAATATAATACTTACTTCGAAGGTTGTGTTATGGTTTTGCTTAAATACGTAAAATGGGTTTCTGAAATTCAAGTTGAATTAGAATAATTAAAATATCAAACACGCACTATGAAAGCCTGAAAATACAGTACCAGAAATCAACGAAAATAATATACAAGTGTAAAGAATTAAGGATTAAATAAGCGATTACCATAGTGTAGAACCAAAAGAAAAAGAAAAACGTGTGTATCATATATTTATGTGTAGTGCTTTTTAAAATGCAAATTAAATTGAAAAAATGCAAAATCTGCACCAAATTCTGTCAAATAA